AGCGAGCGGCAGGAACCATACGACTATGTTTGGCAGACGAGGTCATGTATCACGTCATGCATCTGTTGTCTCCAGATGAAATTTTGAAAAAGTTAGAAAGTTAGTTTATATTCAAATCCTTAATGACTAAACTGTATCTAAAGCATTGGCTATATGGGCTGAAGATGCAGGATGATCATGATTTGGCGTAACACGTGAATGTCTTTAATCAAATCATTTCTAATTTGGCTTGGCTTGATGTGAAAATTGAGGATGAAGACAGAGCGATGATTTTGTTGTGTTCGTTACCTCCCTCTTACAAATACATGGCGACTGCTCTTACATATAGGAAAGACACTATCAAAGTTTAGGAGATTATTTTAGCCTTGTTGGCTCACAACCAGCAGAAGCAGAATGTAGGGAAAGCTCTCAAGCTGATAGCTTATATGTCAAGGGTAAACGAGACCGTGGACGGAAGCCAGAGAAGGCAGGGTCTGGGAAGCAGAATTTCATATCCAAATCTAGGGATAAGAAGACAATTCACTGTTACAAGTGCAAGGAGGTGGGACATATGAAATGAGACTGTCCGAAGTTGAAAAAACAGACTGATGAGAAGTGTGATGACTCATCTAAGTCTGTGTATGTGGTCGACGATGATAATTCTGATTGCAGTGAGGGTGATATGCTCTCTATTTCAACGACTCAATTCACGGATGCTTGGATTCTTGATTCTGGATGTTCTTATCACATCATGCCAAATAGGGAATGGTTTTCGACATACAGGTCGGTTAATTCTGGTTCTGTTTATTTGGGTGATGATCGATGTTGCAATATTTTTGGTATTGGTGATGTCAAAATTCAGATGTATGATGGTTCTGTTCGGACGTTGTGTGGTGTTCGACATATCCCAGATTTGAAGAAGAATTTGATTTCTTTGGGCACTTTGTACAAGAATGGTTTTATCCCTAAGACTGATGAGGATAGGGAAACCATTCGGATTGTTAAAGGAGCTTTGACTGTGATGAAAGGAAAGATGACTACAGAGAATATTTACAGATTGTTAGGGAGTATCGTTGTAGGTGGAGTTCATTCTGTTGAGTCCTGTGATGATACTACCAAATTGTGGCATATGTGTCTTGCTCATCTTAGTGAACGTGGTATGGTTGAATTACATAAAAGAAATCTATTGCATGGTGTTAAAAGTTGTAAGCTCAATTTTTGCAAGTATTGTGTTCTTTGTAAACAGACTAAAGTTTGTTTCAAGACTGGGAAGCACATAACTGAAGGGATTCTTGATTATGTGTATTTTGATGTATGGGGGCCTTCCACGACATCGTCTTTGGGTGGATCTAGGTATTATGTTACTTTTATTGACAATTTTTCATGGAAAGTTTGGGTGTATTTTTTGAAACAGAAGTCTGACGTTTTTTAGAAGTTCAAGCTGTGGAAAGTTGAGGTAGAAAACCAAGCAGAACGAAAAATCAAGTGTTTGCAGTCTGACAATGGTACGGAGTACACAGATTCACAATTTCTAAACTTCTGTAAGGAGCATGGGATTAAGAGGCATTTTACAGTTCGTAATACACCATAGCAGAATGATATTGCGGAACGGATGAACAGGTCGTTGAATGAAAGAGCTAGATGTTTACGGTTGAATGTGGGGCTTCCACACACTTCTGGGCTGAGGCTGTTAACATGGCGTGTTATCTTATCAATAGATCGCCAAGGGTATCATTGGCCGAGAAAGTTACAGAAGAGGTATGGACTGGTTATGATGTTACTTTTGATCACTTACGGATTTTTGGTTGTCTTGCTTATATGCATGTACCTGCTGATGAGAGATCCAAACTTGATGTAAAATCGAATGAGTGCATTTTTCTGGGTTACAAGAAAGGTGTCAAAGGTTTCAAGTTATGGGATCTAATTGCGAAGAAAATTGTGATCAGTAGAGATGTTGTTTTTGATGAACAGTCCATGTTGCAACAGAAGAAAGACACGACAGTGGTGGATTTCAAGCAGTTTCCAGTTGAGAAAATAGAAACTTCTTAACCGACTTCTAGTGGTTCCACTACGGTTGATTTGCAAGATTATAGTCTCGCCAGAGACAGGGTGAGACAGACGAATATAAAGCCTCCGAACATATTGGGTTTTGAAGACTTAGTCTCTTTTGCACTTACTGTTAGCAGTGATGATCTGGTTACTTTTCATGATGCTGTTACTAGTCAGGAAAACAACAAGTGGATGGCTGCCATGGTTGAGGAGATGGAGTCTTTAAATCATAATCGCACATGGGAGTTAGTTCGCCTTCCTAAGGGTAAGAAGCCTATTGGTTGCAAATGGGTGTAAAAGAAGAAACCAACAGTAACAGAAAAATAGGGGGAGAAGTTCAAGGCTCGTTTGGTAGAAAAGGGTTTTTCACAGCAGAAATGAGTTGACTATGATGAAATTTTTTCTCCTTTGGTCAAGCACACTTCAATCCGAGCAGTACTTGCATTAGTGGCTAGTTGGGATTTGCATTTAGAGTATATGGATGTGAAAACTGCTTTTTTGCATGGTAATTTAGAGGAACATACCTACATGCAGTAGCCTAAAGGTTTCACTCAACCTGGAAACGAGCATTTAGTTTGTAGATTGAAGAAATCTTTGTACGGGTTGAAACAGTCTCCGAGACAATGATACAAACGGTTTGACTCCTATATGATCAAGATTGGCTAATGTGAGTATGATTGTTGTGTCTATGTTAAGAGCCTTGATAATGGTTCTTTTATTTTTATGTTACTGTATGTTGATGATATGTTAATTGCTGCAAAGAACATGGATGATGTTATCGGTTTGAAAACTTTATTGAGTCAGGAATTTGTTATGAAAGATTTAGGTGCTGCAAAAAAAATTCTTGGAATAGAAATTTGCAGGGACAGAGACTCAAGGAAACTGTGGTTATCTCAACAGGGTTATGTTAAGAAAATGCTAGAAAGGTTTGCGATGAGCAGCGCAAAACCAATGAGCACTCCATTGGTGAATCACTTTAAGCTCTCATCAGAACAGTATCCTAAGACAGATAAGGAAGCTGAAGATATGGTAAAGGTTTCGTATTCTAATGTTTTTGGCTGCTTGATGTATGCAATGGTATGTACTCGTCCTGATTTAGCTCATGTTGTTAGTCAAGTTTGTAAGTACATGTCTAAACCTGGTAAGCAACATTGGGAAGCAATCAAGTGGATCTTTAGGTACTTAAAGGGTACTGTGGGACATGGAATTGTTTTTTGTAGTCAACGGGATAATCCTTTGGTTGTAGGATATGTGGATTCAGACTATACGGGTGACTTGGATAATAAAAGATCTACGACATGGTATGTCTTTACTCTTGGTGGAGGGCCTATTTGTTGGAAGTCTGTTGTTCAATCTGTTGTAGCATTATCTACAACTGAAGTTGAATACATGGCAGCGGCTGAAGCTGTAAAAGAAGCTTTATGGCTTACTGGTTTAGTGAAGGAGTTAGGTGTTCAGCAAGGTGGAGTTCAGTTGCTTTGTGACAATCAAAGTACTATTCACTTGGCTAAGAATCAAATATATTGTGCTAGAACTAAGCATATTGATGTAAGGTTTCACAAGATCAGAGAGTTGGTTGCATCTAGAAAGATTTTGTTTCAGAAGGTACATACTGATGAGAATGCCACTGATATGTTCACCAAGCCAGTTACGACAGACAAGTTCATGCATTGCTTGGACTTGTTAAATGTTTCGAGTTGTTAAAGAAGTAAGGTAACCCAACCCACATTGAATGTTTCCTAAGGGGCAGGATATTCGTCAAGGTGGAGATTTGTTAGGTATGACTCATAAATATATCGGTAATACAAAGAAAGTCTCGTAGTGCGGGTTAGGATTATGTGGGTTGGGGGTGCGGGGACGCGGTACGGTATAAGGTTATTTTTTAAATATGTACCCGGGTTTATTTATTATAAAAGGATATGTAACCTAAACCTATGAGATATTGAAATGAATAAAAATTCTAGCGCCGCCTAAGGCTCCGAGGACGTAAGCACATTGCTGAACCTCGTTAAAATTCTTATGTTCTTTTCATTTTCTTTACCCGATTATTCAACATTAAATAAAGATTATGGTAAGCAATATGAATGTAGTTGGTAATGTGGCCCCATTTTGCAAGTGAATAGTGTAACTTTGCGTAGCTTCGGGAAACTTAATTGGATTGAGCGAGTCCATTTTTGTCTTTTGCTGAATATTTTCTGGTCTGTAAATGATTTTGCCTTTTTCCTTGATGGAAAATTCAAGTACTCGAGAATATTGAAAATCCTGATGAAAAAATGATGATTTTCTAGGTCATTAACTTCATAGAGACCTTGTTTGATCCATTATTTATGTTACTCAGACTCGGATGTGATTGTTGGATATGGGTCTCTGTCCGACACGTTGATAATTTTGCTTTCAATTGTTTTCATGCATTTGGGGACTTTGAAGTGTCATATCTTATACTCATGTATGTATATGTGTTGGAAATGGATATTTCAAGAAAATTAAGCTGTAGTAGCATATCTATTATTTTTGGAAATATTATGCAAATGGTAAAAGATGGACATGTTGTCCTTGTAAACAAAGACGGACGCAAGAATTTATGTCAGTGATGCAAACTTAAAAGGTTATATTAAAAATTTAGAGAGTGCAAAATTAGATAATTCATATAAAATATAAAGAAAATACCTAAAATATAAGGGAATTTAAAATTTCTAGGAGTGCAGTCCATCCCTGCTTGTGAATAGGTTTTCAGAGGTGAGATCCAAATGTACAAATGAAAATTTCAGAGGCAAGAACTATATATAATTATCGGCTTAAAATGAAAAAAAAAACTAAATTAATGGCCTAAGTGGATCTATACCATGCAATATTTTCTTACTTACAAAATTTATGTTTTTTAAATTCTTAAGAAAGGGAAAAAAGGCTTGAAAAAGAGACCATTCTTGCTGCATTCGCCTATCAATATTGGTACTCAAAATGACAACAATTGTTGTATTCATCAATCAATACTGGTACTCAAAATGGCAGCCATCATAACCTGTTTTCATGACACCAAGAATTAACACAAGTAAGATGTTTTATAATCAAAACCCCTATTGATAAGGTAATTATTTATAGGGTAAATTATATATTTAGTACCCCCAACTATCACTTTTATTCTATTTTGGTCACTCAACTATTTTTGTTTTAAAATATACCTAATGTTATATTTTGGTTTCATTTCGATCACTCACTATTAAAACTTAATGGTGATGCTGATATGTCACCATAAGATAATGTCACGTCATCATTGAAAATAAAAATTAAAAAAAATGACACTCTGCAGTTTTGTTGATTTTTTGACGGCATGTGATCAAAATGAAGCGAAACCGTAACATTAGGTATGATTTTGAAAAAAATAATAGTTGAGTGACCAAAATGAAACCAAATTATAACATTAGATATGATTTTGAAAAAAATAGTTGGGTCACTAAAACAAAACAAAAATGATAGTTGTAGTTTACCTTTTATATATATATATATATTTGAAAAATACTAAATTTATATCTAATCTTCTATATAAAGGGAAGTGGGAAGGAGGCCTCTAAGGGAAGAAATGAGAGTGATCCTAATGGGTCTAGTAATAATAGAGATATTTAGAGACTCAGCCTAGTCCGGGCTTGAAAGCCTTGCTCAAAGGGAGGCCCGTACTGAGCCTAATACAGTTTCTTGCATTTATCTAACTGAGAAACTCACTTGGATCAACTGTGACAAGTATGGCTGTGCCTCCAAACTCACATTTGCCACCAGCAACCTTTGTCTTCTGCCAATAGCTATTAAAAGCATAGGAAGCATGCGCAAAAACTGTGTTAGGCTCAAAACATGACCCACTAGGCTGAATTGAATCACAGTCTGCTCCAGATGCACATGCATAGTTCATTGCCTCTTGCATGATTGGGCCAGGCACTGATGGCTTAGCCACACACCATAATGCTGTGCTTGGACCCGTACGGGGAGCTGGTGGAACCGTCGGGGGAGGGTACACAATCGGTGGTAGAAACACCGGCGGGCTTGGATTAAACCCAAATGGCGATGGAGCATTAAACGGTGGACTTGGCTTGTAATAAGGTGGGCTCAGTATCGGTCCCGATGGGCTTGGCACATAAATTGTCGGTGGTGTCGGTATTGCTTGTGGTGGGCTTGGTAAAACACTAGGTGGGTTTGGAATTATTACCGGCGGATTCGGGGTTTCGGGCGGGCTTGGAAAAGTACTAGGTGGGTTCGGAACTATTGCAGGTGGATTCATAGTTCCGGGTGGGCTTGGAAAAATGCCAGGTGGGTTTGGAACTGTCACAGGTGGATTCGGGTTTCCGGGTGCGCCTGGTGGGGGGCTTTGGCCCGGAAAAAGAGGGGGAAAGTTGTAAAAGGGAGAGGGTGGTGAAGGTGAGGTTCCAATAGGAGTTGGAGGGTTAACACAATAAGGAGGAGAATTTAAAGGCGGCAAAGAATCAAAAGGTGGCAAAGAAAATGGAGGGCTCACATAAGGTTGAGAATTTGATGTATCAGTGGGTTGTTCAATCACTAAACTCATAAGTTTACTAATTATCTGTAATTTCTTTGTGTGCTTTATGGCATGCTTTTGATTTTTTATTAGTTCCATTGTCGTTCTTGCATCTGTCAAAGAACAAACAAACAATAGTTAGATGAGTGCAGAAACTTGGTGACGAAGCAAACTAAGGATTAAATAATAACGATTTCTTCATGATTAGGCAACCAGTTCATGGTTCATTGTATAGTAATATAGTTCGGGTCAAATTCGACACATATTTAGATATGGATACGAGACATAATTTATTTTAAAAAGAAAATTAAACGCATTGAATCGAAAATGTATCAATATCCAACATTAACAAGCTAACAAAGATGTTACGTAATAATTTTGAGGAACTCGAACATTAATGTAGCAGAAATCAGCTTACCGCTATGTATGAAAAGAGTGGCCGCCATTGTTGAATAGATAAGGAACATGCAAACCCTGTTTTCCATGATTCGGTTTCAGCAATGCCAAGAAAAATAAAGTGCATTTGCCTCTAATGTCCTAAGTAATCAAAGAGTATTCAAAGAGCAGAAGACTGAAACAGAGATATATAAAGGCAACTATAGGGGGACAAATGTGTAGGCTGGCAATTAAAGATTTTGATTCTTGAGCCCTACCTTTTTAGTAACTTGGGTGTAAATCAGACATTTTTCATTGTAAGCTATTCGGGTATGACTCGAAGAAAATTTTGAGTTTAGTTCGATCGTCATTGTAGCTCAAGTTATCGAGGGAGCAACATTCAAGTACCTTAAAGCTCAAGTTACCAAGTTCAGCTCGACTTGGTTACACTCTAGGCATATACTCACTTTTGGTTAGAGGGAATGGAGGTGAGTTAGATGCAGCTTAAAATATGGATGATGTTGGTGTTGATGCAAAGTTGGCATATATGCTTAGCTTTCATATCGGGAAAGATGAAAGTGAAGGTTTTTGGTCGCCCTTTTGTGTTGCTTGCTTTCTACTCAAAGCTCTCTTTCTTCCATTTTTGTCCTTTGAATCAATTGCCCTTGTTTGGGGTATTAATTCACTCCACCATATTTGAACATAAATCTGACAAACAAAATCTGCTTTAAGAAATGGTATTGTATCTCCAAACTTTCACCATAAGCTGAGATTTTGCCATTGCAGTTAGGTACTGCTCAAATCTCTTCAATTTGTTTTTGGGAAATATAATGTTAGTATGAAGTCGAGTCTCTCAAATAATGTAAATTATGTGTGGCTTCTCTATCGAATAATTTCATCATATATTGTTGTCTAAATTTATTTGATTTAAGATTAAATATATTTTTATTATAAATTTTATTATATTATATGATTGTGTCAATTCTTATGATTCGATACAGAGATCGAAAAAGACATTCAACCTGTGTGCAAGATATTACTTTATGTTGTAAAAATTATTTTTGTGAAAATTACAGATTTACAGAGATTTTTATTAAAAAGTGACTTTAAAAAGATAAAATATCTATTTTAGGCATCACGTTGTAAATTGAAAATATAATATTGAATTATAATTAAATTTATTAAATATTATAATATTTGAAATATATCAACTACAATTATAATAAAAATATAAAAATATTTTATGATAACTTATTAATAATATTTTTATATATGAAATATTTTATTAGAAAGATGTTATCAATATTTATTAACACGTGGACTTAAAATTATTATGAAACAATAATTTATATACTTTTTTTGACAAAAATAATATATGTACTTAAAGTAAAAAAATTCTTTAATGTTCTATCAATTTATATCTAACAATCAATTTGAACATTAATAAAAAATATTCTACACGCTTGATGAGTATCGATGAGCACCACTAACAATAACCATCATTAATTTAATTTATAAAACATTAAAATTATACGGTCTTCAACGTGTAATTATAATTAGATCAAATATTAACTCCTAAATTAAAAAACCTTAAATTCTACTTTTTTGGCTTTAAAGTTGACATGTTGTTGTCATCGTCACTGATGTTGTCGTGTAGATGCGACAGCTATGTCGACTTTAAAGCCAAAAAAAAGAATTTAAGGTTTTTTAATTTAGGAGTTAGTATTTGATCTAATTATTATTTAAAATAATATTATAAAAATATAATTAATATTTATTTTAAATAATCTATGTTTAATTTTTAATTAATTTATAATTGTACGTTGGGTACTTTATAATTTAAAGCTTTATATATTAAATTAATGGTGTTCATCATTAATGGTACTCATCAGTGTTCGTTGAGCATGACAGAATCAACCTAATAAAAAAATTAATAAATAATTATATATGTATATGTATTAATTTAAAAATAAGTTAAAATTATATAACTGAGAACAAAAATATAATTTCACTTTTCTACAACAAAAGTTAGAAGTTTTGAGTTTGAGTAGCTATATATGCACGATATGTGTACATTACCAATATGGTCTGGTTGATCTACTAAGCATGCGAAATTTTATAGGTCAATATGAATGATTTCCATCGAATCACAACATATTGTTACTCAATTCGTATATATTAAGGATGAGTTTAATCATTCTAGCATTACCTGAAAATGGCCTTTATTTTCTTAGGTATTCAACAAGCCACCAGATAGAAGAACAGTGGCCGCTAGCGGCGGAGTTTGAAACTGTTATTTCAGAAAACTTTAAATTATAATTTAATTTTAAAAAATTTAAAATTTTATAAAATTACCATAAAAACCCTAAGAAATCTTTTAAAACCCTAATTTTAATCCCTTAACACCATTGACTGCCACCAATGTTGTCAATAGATCGAAGACCCAACGTTGTTCGACTGAAAAATCACCCAACAACTAAAAGCCCTTATTTTCTTGACCAATCAAACACCCTATGATCGTGTAAATACAAGTTTTCGCGACCGGTTAAAATGGGTTCACCATGTTGCGATCGCAAATTTTTTTGCTGCAATCATCACGTAAAGCATTTGGATTCAACTGATTGATGACGTTAATGATAAGTGACTAAAATTAGGGTTTTTTTCAAGATTTTAGAGTTGTTTATAATTTCAAAAAATATTGATTTAAAAAAAATATTAAGTGTTTTTAAATAAAATTTTATATAATTGACATTTGTCAAATAACGGTATTTTTTAACGACCATTACAACTCAGACACCTAAAAATATAACATCAGAAACATTAAGCACCTAAAATTTGTCTTTTTGATACTTTCAAATTTGAAACACATATTCCTAAATCATCATAGCACACCTATATACTTTAAATTAGTCTTTTTGATAACAAGTTTTTTTTAGTTTAATCCCTTAACTTTTCATGATTTCCATATTTCTTCAATTCAACTTTCATTTTGAGTTTAGGTCCAATCTAATTAAAATTGTCAAAGTTTAAGAGTGATTTGTATTTTAAACCATTTTAAAAAAATAGAATAACTTAACTTACTTGAGTTGATCCGACCAAATTGGAATAAATTTAAGTTTAAAATTTTTAGGCATAATAACAAAATTAACCCCTTATGTTTTCAAATTGATCACTTTTCTCTTTATTCTTTTTTGAGCATTTTAACTCTTAATGTTTCTATTATTAGTCAAAATAGTTCATACTGAAAGAAGACAATTAATTGATTAACGATCAACATATATGTTGAAATGATATTTTTACACATATTTAATTAGGGGCATGACATATAGACTTTGGATAGTGTGACACATGTCACATCATCACTGTGAATGATGTAACACATATCACATCAATTTAAGTGACATAGAACATGTTATATGATCATTTTGGTGACGTGACACATAATACATCATAATTAAACACATATAAAATATCATGTTAAAAATTTGTTAACTTAGTCAATTAACGGTTTTCATCCAACAAAAATTGCAATAATCAAAAATTAAAATAATTTAGAAAAAATAAATAACAAAATAATTATATATAAAACATGGGGACTAATTTCATTATTATACCACAATTTTATGGGTTAGTCAGCAAGTCCGTAAACTGTCGATGAAAGAACTCTTTTAAAGCTCTGAACAAGTCCATGCCTCAGGTTTGGCTCCTAACCTAAAAGCTCCAAACCTCATCCACTGTCTTTTTTGCTTTGTTTTTTCATGTTGAAAAGCATAATTTTTGAGTTTTCAGACCCATTGAATTTCAATTCTTCTCCCAAGGAAAGCCCTAATTTATCGCTTTCTTTCTGATTCCCTAGGTCTTAGCTCTTTTCAACTTGAGATCTCAATATCCATAAAAAAAACGTATGAATTTTGATTAGTTTTTTTAGAAATGTTTAATATTAGAATGCAGAAGTCAATGATTGATCAATAAAGATCAATTCTTCAGGAGCTCAAGAATGGTATTGTAGGTTTTGATCCGTCTGAATCTATCTTTTTAAGGTTAGTTTCGATCAAATATAACTGTAAATTTGGGTTTTACGATTACGTGTTTTAGTACTTAATTTATAACTTTTATGGTAAAATTGAATTTTGAGTTTACTTTTAATCAATTGTTTATTTTTTTATTTTGAACAATTAGATATTTTTTGCTGATACGATGGCGCAAAGTAATTGGGAAGCAGATAAGATGTATTGTTCTTTCAGAAAATTAATTCTACCTTTTAATTTTGTTAAGTTCTTAATTTTTTTTCTTTCTCTTCTTTGGCCTTTCTTTTCGCAGGCTTGATGTTTATATATATGATTATTTGGTGAAGAAAAAATTGCATACAACTGCAAAGTCTTTCATGACAGAAGGGAAAGTCGCCCCGGATCCAGTAGGTAAGGATTGGATTTGACTGTGCATAAATTCTGTTAGGTTGAATTTGGTAACTTGGATTTAAGAGATGGTTTCAATTGTTTAATAAGAAACATATATCGAATCTATTTAAAAATTATGTATGCATATTCCAATTATTTATATAGCAAAGGAAATCCAAATCCACATTTTTATGTTCCAAAAATAACAATAGTTAATTGATAAATTGTGTGACTTAGATTCTTTTACATGGAAAGGAATGTGGAGCTTTACATGATTCCTTTTTAGTTTACGTTACTGCACTGTGGATTTTACTTGAAAAGTTGTGCGTTACACATCTTGTGCACTTCAGATTTACATAGGTATGAGACCTAGATTCTCAACTTTACTGTCAAACTTGCTGAAAGTGAATCTCCAGTGATAGATGTCCGTGTCCAATATTTGATGGGAAAAAGGTGTTTGAATTTAATTTTCAAATTAATTATGGGTGATTATTTATTGAAATTAAGGGTTATATTTTATTCTAATTGCTTGGTTAGATTTTAATTAAGACATCAAATTATTGGTAGAGGGAATTTAGTTTGAGTAAGTGATTAATGTAGAACTTGTTTATTTATCCAGCAATTGATGCTCCTGGTGGGTTTCTTTTTGAGTGGTGGTCTGTCTTTTGGGACATTTTTATATCAAGAACAAATGACAAGCATTCAGAGGCTGCAGCAGCATACATAGAGGTAGCA